TTAACTTATTTAGGACATATTGAAAATCATAATATGATACATCATATTTAATAAAAGTTAAGTCAACTCCCATCAGTGGACATACATTTGCAGCAAAAATGACAAACAACAGGAGTCAAAGGGACATAAAGAAATATCTCCAGAGGTGGACTTAAAGTGAATGACATGTTAATATATGGCATTTTGAAGTTTTAAAGAGCATTATCAAGCCAAACCAATCAGAATGAATTGTTTTGTTTTTTGGGACCAGTACCACACGATGGTAGGACATAACAGTTTTTTTTTCGAGAAGTTAATGATTATTACAAAATATGCAAATGACTGAATATGCTATTAAAACCTTAATTATAACCATGTACAGACTGTAGTGTAGCTGTTTTATCTTCGTATCAGTTTCGGGGTCAGCTATTATCCCTGTATGTGTGTACTGCACAACAGCACTTTGAACAGATTGGAGACACGTCGATGTGTCAAACATTTGATCTCAAACACTCGTCATATTGGCAAGATCCAGGAAAACAAACCTCAGACTGAAAATAACGAGAATAATCCTTTAAGTCAGGTCCAGTGCTCTCGGGGCTAAATTCCTAAGCCAAGTCAGGTTTTTACATTCTTCCCCGCCGTTCTTACCAGATGCTTTGTACAAAACTGAGATATTGGCTGTATGTAACTTATGTAATGAAAGAATAACACAGCACTGTTCGTTTTGCCCTGCACACCGTGTCTTAATGTAAGCTGCCTCTGTGGCTAGAATGTCCATTTGTTGACATGAGATTAGTGCTCGCGGGTGCAGTTGTTTTGAATATCTGTAGGATATTGATATTGATTACTGCTGTGTGCACAAGTACATGCAGAGTATATTTTCCCACTCTACCCTCAGTCACATTGACCATTGACTAGAGCAGATGAGCAGAGGAAAGGGAGTGGTGATGCACTGTAGGTCTGATGTTGCTACTAAATGTGTGTATTTTTAATGACTGTTAATAGTCTAACAGTGTTTGAGATGGTCACATCCCATTTATAACTACAATGCCACTGTGTAGAACATACTTTCACCAAGGCCCAACACACACACACACACACACANCACACACACACACACACACACACACACACACACACACACACACATATCAGTTCCCTAAATATGCTTGATTTCTTATTTTAGCATTGATTTCTTTATTAGCACACTTTACAAAACACAATGGGTGACTCCTCAAGAAATAGATAGTTCATCAAAATATACTGTATATTAACATTTTGAAAGATGCTTTTTTTGATGCTATATAATAAGCCGAAAAACAAAATTGGGGTATTACATTTCGGATGCTGTAGTGGCTGTGTTTGAAAAGCAAAGTGGGTTTTTTTTCTTTTCTAAAACAAACAATAATAATAATAAATGAAAGAGGGAGTGCCTTTTTTTTCTCAAGATTCATGCATTATTATTTGGGAAATCTGGTGAAAAGGTAAAAAAAAAAAAAGCAGCCGAGAAGTGATTTCTGATGCTGTAGCGTTAGCCAAAGCTAAAATATCAGCAATTTGGCAATATATCACACTAGAAAATCCCATGAGTACAACGTCAGCGTTTACTGTACAACAAAGAGTTTCAACACTAGCAATAGCCCATACAACAATAATAACAATCAAAACTTTCATACAGGGTTAGTGGCAAACAGTTGTTAAAATACATCATATAAGGACTTATATTTTTAAATGCACTGGTATTGGTACTTAATCTCAGCCGATATGCAGAGTCCAGTCTGTATCGGGAAGGGAAGAAAGCTATCAGAACATCTCTAATGTAAACATCTCAGCAGATTTTTATGATTGAAACATGTCCATGTTGACTGGAAAGACCACAGCACTGATTGAGATCAGATGCACACACATTCCTCACCGGTGGCGTAAACTGGTTTGTAAGCTTGTGTCTTGGATGATGTGTTCATGTAAACACACTTATTATATCTACAGTGGCTGTTTACTCTGTGATGCAAAACCAGATCCCTTCCCTTCTCTCAGCACAGCAATGTAATTACTCACTTTCCTTTCAACTCTTGGGTTTTAGGAGCGATCCACAAACCACTGGTTTTCTGTCCCATGTGATTGTGTTGTGGGTTGTGTGTGGTGCTCAGTGATTAGTGCATTATCAGGTAGAAGTTTACCAAGGCCTCGATCCAGCCCCTTCCTTCTCTTGTTGTCAGTTTAACCCCATTTGGTGATCAACCTTTTCTCTCCTTCAACCTTCCATTCATCCGCTCTTTGTTATGTTGTTTCCTCTGGCGCACCCTTCCTGTCAGTGGGAAGCTGAATATTCTTAATGTTATTAAGGAAAAGACATAAATCATTGCTCCTGGACCTGCTGGCTCAGTAAGCTTTCGTCATCAACCATATTCTCTGTGTTTGTGGATGATATAGCCCACACCTGCAACTGAGAAAAGTGAACAAAGTGCTTCAAAGTATTTAGTTTTAAACCTGTCTGACCAAGAGAGAAAGGGAAAATGTTCACGTTCTGTTAAAAGCATCTTTTTATACTGACTGATAAATGGAAGAGCCTTTTAAAGATCCACTAAAAGGCTCATTCTGCTTTGAGCAGCCTGCCATATGTGTTAGCAGTGACTATAAGCAGTGCAGTGGCGCTGCTCTTCAACATGTTCCAGCAAAGGCAATGTTCCTTTCCTGTGCTGATCAGGTGAGGGCGTGTTCTGGGAGTGTTGAGGTTGCGTAACACACCTGCCACATAGGATAGGAATTTTTACAAGCAGAATTTAAAATGTTTGCAGTGATGGCAGTGTACAGTCACATGTAAGAAGAGAGATAGATGGCATGAGACCAGGGTCTGCAGCAGAGTCTGGACCAAAGATTGTGCTCCATACTGGACCTTTAAATCACCTGAAAAGACTCTTCTGTTCTTAATGTGCTGCTAAAAAATAGGTCAATCAATGGGACGTTAAAATATAGAAAGGCCTGCTGTAGTAAAGACAGTAGCTGTGTGAAGAAAAGAGAAAGATGAGAATAGATAAAACTGCAAAATTGCATGTGTCTGAGAATTTCTACAACGTCCTGAAACTGACAATCCACCAAGTTGTCACTTTGTGTAGCAATGAGAAAGTTGGCAGGGTGACTTCCACATATTCCTGGTTATTGTATCTCATCTCTCTCTCTGTGTGTCATCCCTCTCTTTAACTATTTTTAGATTTACATTTTGACAAATGTGGGCGGCAGCTGGTCTTTAAAAAGTCTTCAATTCAATTTTACAAATAAAAGGTCTTTTAAACGGATACCAAGAAAATGTCTCTACTCAGCCAGACCAAAGTAGTTTCAGTAAGTTAGGAATTGGTAGTTGTGGTAAGCGCTGCGTTGTCAGTCCGTCTCTGGTTAAGGTTATGCATTTAACTTATGCCTTTCTGGCCAGCCTATAGCTCATTTATGAACATGGGTAAATGTGACTTTAACGATAAGTGGCTTGAGAATGACGAGTGCTCATGGTGGTTGAAGCCAGTGGCTGGAAGTGCTCGTGAAGCAAACTGCACTGCATGTAGAAAGTCTTTGTAGCTTGGAACGATGGGGATCAAGTCGGTGGAGTCCCACAGACGTAAATGTTTATTAGTAAAAAAGTATGTTTACATCACAAGTTTGGTTCCCAGTGGTTTAAAAAAGGTCTTGAATTTGACTTGTCTAAAGCTTTAGACTCCCTGTAACTGTGACTGGTCATTTTAATGGCTACATGTATTGATCTACCGTTGTTGATACAGCAGTAACTTCGTTACTTTGTAATATGTTTTGTAGCTTGTTGTCAGAGGGAGGCCTTACATCTCTTTGAGTTAGCTGCCTTGTTTAATTGATCCATCATTGATTAATTGATCAATAGACAAGTGGTTACTCTTTATACATGTTCACCCTCCAGTTTGTTTTAAACTCAGGGTTATTGTCCATTGTTGTCAGTGACTTAGAAGTGTGTGTATTTCAAGCTAAGTGCTCTGACCCTGTGATGTCAGTGTGAAAAGTGTGAGTGCTGTAAATCCTTGAGAAGAGGATGAACTTGAGCACAAGAGGTTTCTCTCAGATGCAGGGAGCAGTGCTGAATGCCATTCTCACTGTTCTCTGTTTTCTTTCTTCCTGTCAGGAAAGGCTGAGCTGATGAATGACACTGCACTGCTGTTCTTTACTTCCCCTTCACTCTCAACAGATATATTCTGCTCCTTGTGTCTCACCATCACACTCCACCTCAAAGTTGTTTCTGTCTCATTGTTTCTCCTGACATCTTTTTTTAACAGGAAGCATGGTTTTCACATACACAAAGAAATCAAGGATAGCATTCATGGAACTTTAAGAATGAGAGTTGTGATCTTCAGCCACTGCTCATATAAACATTGGTGGTGGACTGCGATCATAGCCGAGGAACCTGGGCAATTACAGAGCCAGGTGTATCACATTTCTGTGTCCAGCCCTCAGGCAACGACTGAGGACTGAGGGTTTTTCTATTGTGTTTTTCCTATATAGGCCAGGGTTATCGGTTCATGCGCAGGCGTGCCTCTGTGAGCTCTGTGTGGTTAGGAGACAGTATGTCCTCTGTACCCGGCTCATTAAAAGAGGCATGGTTCAGTAGACAGCAAACACACGCTCGATCACCCACGCACCCATCATCCGTCTTTGTCCCCGCTCTGGTCCAGTGTCCATTAACTCATCCCTTCACCTTCCATTATGCGTCTTACCACTGCTGGTTGCTAAAGCTCAAGAGGATGCAACAACTCAGATAACCAGCTACTGTCCTTTTATTATTCATGATAATGTTTTATTGATCAATTAAAAATAATTTTGATTAATGGAGATCCAAATTTAGACTTAGACCAAACTTAATTTTGGGGTCAGAATGCCACCTACAGATTAGTTTCAGGTGAGATTTGCTTTTGGTATCTCTTAGAGTGGATCTGTTACTGTGTATTCCTCCCCATTCATTAATAATCTCCCCCATCTCTCCTCCCCCTCCCTGCCACCTCCAGGTGCAGCAGAAGCAAAGTGTCAGCGGCGAAGAGGAGGGGAACGACCAGGAAACTCCGGTGCATGAGACTGACAGTCAGTATGGGACCTGGGACACAGGACTTCGCACTGATGACAGGTAAACATATTTTTATATGCGTTTGCCGTGTTTGATCCCAAACCAATCCGAGCTGTCCAAAGCATTGCAAAAAGACATCACAAAAAAAAAACACAACTACCTCACCAGTTTATCCAGTTGCATATGTTAAAACAGGACAAGAAACATTTATTTACATTTATTTATGCTCTTAGTAGCGGAGGATGTGCAGCTGCAAAATAACTGGCGAGAGATTGTATTGACTAAAAGTCTGTTTAATAAATTATGTGTTTAGGGTTCAAGGTCCTTAGCAACAGCAATTATTAGGTCTTGTTTACAATTTGTTCCTGGATCAGGCCCTTTAAGCGCATGGATTCTTCCCAGGCCTCCACCAGGGCAGTTTGGTAGTGTTTTGTAATCTGTAATACTGCTCGAAAAATAAACAGACAGGTGAAAACATAACCTCCATGCTGGAGATGATTCATCTCCCGTACAACAAGCCAGATAACGGTGGTACCTCACACCACACAAACCACAATTGTAGCACAATTAACTGTTTTTTCTTGACTTCAGTCTCTTTGGGAAATAATGTAGTTTATTATAAAGTTCAAATGACTCCAGCACAGCCCTGTGCTCTTGTGTCTTACATTGCAATCTATCACTGACCCCCTGTGGTCAGAAAATAACATTACAACATCAATGTTGTCAGCCATCAGTTAAAAGAAAAGATAGTAAAGCATATTTGTTGTAGAGGTTGCGTTTTAATTTCTGCCATCTGTCTGCCTGTCTGTAAGAAAAGGGGTGGGGTAGGAAGAACACATGAAATTTGGGATTGGATCTTGGATTTTTTTTGTCACTTTCTTAAATGACGAGATTGGGCGTTAGCCTTGGGCGGACGTATGTAATCTCCAAGGGCACTTTTAGTTTTATATGAATCACTGTTTTTTCCTGTCATGGTGACAGAGGAGGCTCACAGTCTGTTTTAGTTATGTCATCTAGATTATAGCTTCTGCAGTGCTGACACAAAAGAAAAGCTATGACTCAAACTTTTCGATTGTAACTGCACACAGTTGTTTTCAGATGTGTTTCCTTTTTAATCCGTTTCAGCCTCACTCCTGCCACTCCCAGCTCAGAGAGCAACCTCAGCCCATCACCGAGGAAGCCCACTCCCCCACACATGCTGGGTGATTCTGCCTCACCGTTTGAAATTGATACTCTGGACGGCTTCCTTGCCCAATCGTCATCTGACAACCAGCCACTCTCTTTCCCTGATGTAAGTGTCACCTGAGTTAACACAGCTCAGTTTTCACCACATGAGCCTCTGATGCTGGTTTTGTCCTAATTGGTTAGATTTTCATTTAAGTCTTTTCATGTTTTAAGTTGTGTACTTGTGTTGTATTTATGTTTTCATCTCAACTCATCGTATTTTGTTTCTGTGTCTTGCTGTTCAGGCTCCAACCACTCTGTTAGACACCAGCGTCCTCCGCTCCAGAGCCCAGCTGGGGAAGAAACGAGCACCACGGACACGGCCCAGCAGGGCCGCCCGTCAGACTCCTGCACAGGCAGAGAGAGAAACCGCAGAGGACTGGCTTTACAGAGACTCCACAGGTTTATACTTTACATGGAGCTGTAATCTTTGTGTTGATTTCCTCTGTACACCAAACAAAAGCAGCTTAAATCTTGAAAAGATCAGATAAACTCCTACTACAATATTCACTAAACTGACCTTTTACGTCATGTAAGTGACAACTGCACGCTGATGTGTAAGAAAAATTTGCGTTTGCTCTACGACAGAGGCAAGAGTTCAGAGTAAGGAGGATGACTCAAACTCTGAGGAGCAGACCAGAGGAGTTGACCTCCACCCTGCTGCAGCCTCTCAGCCACAAAGGGTCGCCCTGTTCCCTGGGATGGACCCCTCAGCTTTAAAGGTGAGCATTAACCTCTGATTAAGAAAAGCAGAGAAGGAAAAATCTTCTACTGAGAGCTTTCTGAATATATGAAATATGTGTGAACTAGTGGAATCTGATTTTATTCATCACTGCCTCCTGTACAGCTGTACTTAAGCGTACCCTTTGCAGACTCTTCTCATGTATTTGGTTCTCGTTCATAGTTCAAACTTTTTTCCCATCTCTGTTCTCAGGCCCAGCTGAAGAAGAGGAGTGAGTCTGACATTCAAACTGAAGCACCTGCTCCCTCTCCCTCCCAGCTGTCTCGCTCCCCTAAGTCTCCCTTCCTTCCACGGGCAGCGCGTCTACTGCCCCCACCTGGTGGGAAAGAAAATGGGTAAGAGACTCCATTTGAAGGAAAAATGGCTTAAGTGCAAGGATTTCTTCTTTGCACTTAAGCCATTTTCAGATATGAACCGAGAAAATGTCTTTTTCCGGAGTTTGCCTTTCACATATGAAAACGTAGGGTCAGATGCTTTCACAACAACAGGAAAATTCCACAACGAGGGGTGGAGCCTGGTTAGAGCATGCAGGAAGCAGGACATGATTTAAACATTTCACTGTGTAATGCTCAGTGTTTGTGCGCATCACCAAAAGCTCTCGAATACTCGTCTTTCCAAGTTGACAGGTTCATGGCTCTTCTTTTTCAACCTGAGATGTTTGTGTTAGTAACGCTGTCTTTGTGCTATCTTTATAGTGAGGACTCCCCCCAGTGGTTGAAAGAGCTGAAGTCCAAGAAGCGCTTGAGTCAATATGAAAATGAGAGCTAAGTAAATAATGAGGTAAGATATTTATTTTTCTTTTGAAAGAAAAAGGAAATGTCATAGTTATTATCTTTGACCCCTGTTCTCCTCTCACCCTCTCCCTTAAGGTTGCCTTAACAGATGAGTCTGTATGAAACAGAAGCCTTAACGTTTGACCCAGAGAGCAGGAGAGATGGGAATCTACAGCTGCTGATGTGTTTTTTTTTTCCTTTGTTTTTTTCGGGGGTTCTCTCCCCGTCTGGGTCGATAATTGTGCATGGTGCCTTTTTTATAGAGTCTCTGACTTATTGAAAAAGAAAAGAACGAGCAAGGAGGAAAAAGAACATCAGGCTGCTCTGCTTTATCCATTTCATGCTTGAACCTTGTGGAGCTCTCCTGCACCAGGGGGGACTTCACATGAACACTTTAAATAGGGACCAGGAGCAGCAATGATGAGGAGCATGAGGAGATAGAAAAAGCAAATTATTTTGGGACCATGTCGCCTCTTATGCTGGATGTGCTTCATCACATGCTGGAGGACAATCCAGCCTATCCTCTGCGAGATGTTTGTATTTAGTTTCACCGATATGTATGAGCCGACTACGTCTGCCGCGTCATTTTGTGATGGTGGGAGTCGTACAAGCGTTGCCATATGATTACATTTCAGACGCAGATGATGTTTTTGAACATAGAGAACAAATCACCTCTGACTTGATTGTTTTCGGGATTGTATATAATGGTAGCGTAAGTGTAATCAGGAGATGTTATATTTGTATTATCGTTGATTTAACAAAAAGACAGAGAGTTAGTTTTGAAAACATTAAGATGCATCACTACAGCAGAGGCTCTACCTTGATGAACCCCACAAACTAACAGTGTCACGGCTGCTGCGTACTGTACTGTGTGTCTTTTGTCTATTCGTCTTTTTGTCTTTGTGGAGGACCGATGGGGGACTTTAAGCCAACTGAATTCTGCACCTGTCAATCATGCACACTCCTTTTCAGCACAAATACACTCTTGACTCTTTTGTGGAAAAAGTAATCAGCCTGTCCCAGCTCCTGTAATCAATTGTAGCTGTAAGCATCCGTTACAAGCCATACATTCACCCTGTAGTGCTCACACACTCCTCAGATCATGAATCTTTGATTTTCCGATGAATGTGCAATTTTCCCTCTCTTTTGTCCCCATTAATGTGCATGCACAATCTTTACTTTCACACCGGGCTTTGCTCAGAGTCGGGTTGTTGGCTCACACTACTCTAGCGGAGGGGATGATTCATTCACTACATTGTTTACATGACTCTACCCTCTATCACTCCAAACAACCCGCTATATAACTCCAAAAACGTTGTCTCTTTGCACCTGCTTAATTGTTAATCTCCTAATATTTGCCATCCACCCACTTGCTCTGCGTTTCTGTAAAGCACTTTGTCACTTGATGCACTACAGCACTGACCTCTGCCCCCTCTTGTTGGCTATCTTTTGTCTTCTGTATTGTCGGAGTGCTCATGCAATGCAAGTGAATGTGACGATCGAGTCTTTGGAGCGAATGCCCCTGGTTTCTTTGTACATGGACGTTTTACTTATTCATAAAGTTTGAGGGTTTATTTTTATGTCCTTCTTTGTCTTTTTTTATTTGAAAGGAAAGATGTATATTACACTGTGTTGTACTGGCCAGTGTCCTAAAGCGAATAAATTCGTAATAAAATTTACTTGGCTTAAGCTGTGGCCTCTGTTCAGTATTTCTTTGTTTTGTGCACTTCTTTGTGAAACTTGATCTTTGTGTCAGTATAAAATAGGTTCCAATCATATCAGCAGCTCATTGAAAGTAAGAGGTGAAACCAAAACTTTTTGTTGGAAAGTTGCAAGGAGGTTTGATATGGCTGAGATTGGGTGTAGTCTAGTGTGTGTGTGTGTGTGTGTGTATGTATGTGTGTGTGTGTGTGTGTGTTTGTGCTGAGCAGGGCTGTTTGCTGAATCCTCTTGGCGCTCTCTCCCTGTGCCCGCACACAGCGCTCGCTGGCAGCCAGGCAGACGGGCATGGCAGCGTGTGCCAACACAGCTGCCTATTGAGAAGCAGCGTTTCGGACACAATGTGAGCGACAGACTTGCTGTATCAACAGCTCCACCGTTTCTGCTGTTGTTGCCAGAAATAAACCATAAATACCCCCCCAGTCCCTGCCCTCTAATGGCTCAACCCCAGCAAACACCAAGTGGGACAGAGAAAGAGGGACACTACCATTTCCTAGCAGGCATATCCAGGTAAAGGCCTCATTCTGGACACAGGAAAGTAATAGCAAGTGTATTAATGTCAGTGCAATGGAGTTAGATGGTGCTGCATCAGTGAAGACCCAGGTTTGAAGGATTTTGACATCATGGACTGTAACTGAACCTGATAAGGAATATGGTTTTTGTGTTTTCCTGTAAACAGAATACTATACTGCAAATGAGTTTTGCTGCTTTAGGACAAAATAAATAAAATCTTTTCAGGGTGAGTTATGAGTTGCAACTGTGACATTGAGCTCTCCTCCTGTGCCTGTGTGTACATGTGTGATGGCTGGTGATCTGTCTGGGTGTGTGCTGATGCTGCTGCTGCTGCTGCTGCTGCTGCCAAAAAGTGGAGGAGCAGTGGATCAGGAGGATGTCGGAGCAGCAGAGCGCCCCGGAGCAGCTGGCTGCAGGGAAGAGCCAGGGTGGAGCTGGAGCCACGTATAAGGTACTGTCCACAAATGAAAAACCAGTTTGATCAGGGAAGGATTTTTTGACTTACTTCCCTTTTGTACCCTTTCTGTATGCTATCTTACAATAACAATAAGATGAATCAGTGGATGATATGTTTCATCTCATGGAGGCCTTCCATTCAAACTTCTCCAGTGGGAAATGAGATGAATCTGTGTCGGTGCTATGCAGTCTGAAAACACGCAGGTCTCTCTCTGTGATCCAGGTGGTGCTGTTTGAGTTCGAGAACTTCCAGGGCTGCAAGGCGGAGTTTTCTGCTGAGTGTAAAGATGTGACGGAGAAGGGACTGGAGAAGGTTGGATCTGTGATTGTTGAGTCAGGACCGTGAGTAAAGTGCATATATCAGTTAATTTAGCTCAAGTGCTGCTTCTTCACATATGCACCTGTCACATTACCATCTGTGTTGTTCTTTCCCCCCCTCAGCTGGGTGGGTTATGATCGACATGGCTTCACAGGGGAGCAGTTTATCTTGGAGAAGGGCGAGTATCCACGCTGGGACACCTGGACTAACAGTCAGAACAGCTACTCCCTCTTTTCTCTAAGGCTGCTCAAAGTGGTGGGTGACTGACACTGCTCCTCCAGACACTGATATGTGCATGGTTTCATACTGAAGCTTGCTCACACATTACTTTCACACACTCCCTCTTTGACCTTCCTACATAACATTAACAAACAGTCAGCACTGACTGGAGACATTTGAAGGACTTGGAAGTATCATGTGTCTGTTTCCCCTCCACAGGACAGTGCTGAGCATAAGCTCCACCTGTATGAGAACCCCGGATATACTGGTAGAAAGATGGAGATTGTCGATGATGATGTGCCCAGTTTGTGGGGCCACGGTTTTCAGGATCGTGTAGCAAGTGTCAAGGCTCTTAACGGAACGTAAGATCCTTCCTTTCAATCAGATTATTATTATTACAAACTATTACATATTTATAATGTGGTATTTTATGTGACAAATATCACACACTTTGTTTTCCCTTCCTCCAGATGGGTTGGCTACATGTACCCAGGCTACAGAGGGCGCCAGTTTATCTTCGAGCGAGGTGATTTCAAGCATTGGAATGACTGGGAGGCCCCTGCGCCTCAGATCCAGTCTGTCCGACGTGTGAGGGACATGCAGTGGCACAAGAGAGGCTGTTTCACCGTTCCTGACCCGGATCCGGCTCCCGGCCCCGAACCCGACCCCGCCCCAGTACCTCCTGCCCCTCCTGCCTCAGCTGGAGCCAGCTGAGCAGTATCCTCGCCTGCCTCCCGACCCCTCCCACAGCCTCCCGACCCCTCCCACAGCCTCCCCCACGCTGCTGACAGTGCCCGCCCTCTGCCTTAACCTAACCATGGCAAACTGCTGCTTGTGCCCAGTGAGGGATGCCATGTATGTTTCAGTGGCGAATAAAAGTTGTTTGACCTGGAGTTGGCCCTGTTTGTTGGTCATGTTACTGATGATTATTGTTAGTCAAGGTGACTGAAACTGAAAAAGCCACAATCAGAGATGATGTCGATGTGAAAATAGTGTCACCCACATATTTTCTAAGTTAGGATGAGCTCAGTTTATTTACACGACACATTTACTGTTTGTGTTTCCCCTGTGATGTCAGTATGACAACTGTAGCATTGGAGCACATGACTTAGAGAATATGTAGACACGCATCTGCTCAACAGCAATGGAAATTATGTCATACTGTATGTATGGTTGCTATTAAAACAGAGTGCACTGCATTCCCTTCCATAGTCGTCATTGTGCATTTGATCTGTAATGATCCTCATCCATCATTATTGGTCAGCAGGTTAATCTTAAGAGCTAACATTACGATGCCACTAAAATAATCTTCAAATTATGATTACCATTTTGGAAAATGAAATATTAGTCTAATGATAACATTCCACAATCCGCAGATGTGTTAACTTTTCATAATGACATAATGACTATTCTGCTGTAATACAGAGGTAATAATCAAAAACAGAAATCATTACCATCATAACATGATTAATAGAAGTCACTGACATGTCCAAACTTTTCTCTTCGGTGCCTAAATACATGAACAACAGAGAACAGAGTGGGACAGACATAAACAGGATGTGTCATCCAGTGCATCCCTACTGGTTTTAGATTTTTTAATGAGTACATGCAAAAACATGCAGTCTGCCAACTGTGAGCCTTAAGAAAACACATCTGTGTTATCTTAACATCCGTCAGAGGAGTCAAGGGGGTTTTTAGTTTGGTCCACACTCTATAAAGATTATGTGGATTTCTTACACAGTCTAATCATTTTCAGGGTGTGTTCTAACTTATTTTCGGGATGCTGTGTCATGTTCAGTCTAAGTGCTGCACTACAGCATGGAGCTGTACTCTTGGACACAATCAACACATGCACAAGTAAATAAAGTCTTTATAAGTTCAAGGTATAAGCTCGGGAGCTGTGATTTGAATCAGCCAGTGACAGATGATGCTGTCATAAACAGCTCAGGTTCATTCTATTGTCTCTCACCTCTGAAATAAGAACTTGAAATCTCATGAAAAACAGAGATAATGAACTAGTGCTCTCACATACAGTCTGCTGAACTGAAATCGGTTGTAATGAAGTAAAAATATAAAGTCTGTATTTACACAGCACTCTTGTAATCTTGATGACCACTCAAATCTCTTTACAGTAGAGGTTTTGCCATTCTCACATTCAAAGCATTCCACACGCATTGTGTCCCGTGTCCTGCCTAAGGTCACTTTGTCATATGCAATGGGGGAGGCTGGGATTGAACCGCCAACTTTTTGGTTAGAGGACAATCCACTCTACCTCCTGAGCCACAGCCGGCCTAAAAATAAATGATATCCAAACAAAAAAGTCACCACCTATAATCAGCCACATGTGTCTATGACGACTAAAATTGACAGGTCGGACTTTTGCAAAATCCTTGGAGACATGAAGATGAAGATCCTCACAGTCTCACCAAGGGCTCACATTTTATTCCATTTTGATTAAGTTCAATTCAATTCACTATGTTTAAACTACATATGTTTATTGTTATACATTATGTTAACTTTATCTGTACAGTCTTCACCAGGAAGACTTTATAACATAACCTAGAGTTGTTTTATGTGATGTCCTCCCCGTTTCTGCCAAAGACTTAACTGGAGACGTGTGAATGTGAAAGTAAAACGGTTGTTTGTCGCATGTAAGCCCTGTGATAGGCTGGCGACCTGTCCACAGTGTACCCCGCCTCTCACCCCATGTCAGCTGATTAGCTCCAGCTCCCCCTGCAACCCATGAAGGACACACAGTTATGATAACGGATGGATGGTGGGATGTGTAATGTGACTCTTCAGAAAGTTATCTCTGTGTTTTCAAAGTGCAAACACAACTTCAACAAGACAAAATTATGTTTTTTTGTTGTTGTTTGGTTTTGTTTGGAAAGTCCCCACAGGCACTGATCTTCACAGACTTCCTCACATAGGCCAGAGTGCAAAGGTTAGGTCAGCTGCCCTGGTGAGGTGTTTGAGGACAAGAATAACTGATATTGATACACAAGACAGACACAAGAAACGCAGTATTGCTGAACCACAAAACCTCAGATCTAAATCTTGACTTGACTATCTGCCCTAAAAAGTGTCATCTGAACAAATTAAAAGAAAGCAATCAATCATTTTCCAGCAGAGGAAGAGGTATTCATATTTTATGTTTGTAAAAGTAAAAAAAATCATCAAAAATATCACAAACTACTAGCTAACTGTAGTAATAATGTAGTGTTAGTTTGTAAATACAGCATCAATGCACAAGTAGCATTTTACCTCTGAATTGTAAAGGCGACAAAGTAGAATAAAATAGATTCTCAGGAAAAGTACCTCTGAATCAAAAAATATACTAGAATAGTACACACCTCTGCCAAGGCTCAATAATGCACTACTGAATCCACATTGTAATTCACTAGATCAAGATTTTTATTTGGATTTGTACTAAACTGAACGAATCTGCACCTAAACATAACTGACGCTTTTCAGCAAGATCCATGAGTTATTCTCTGAGATATCGTGGCAAAAGTTAAGAGACGTCCTATCTCGCAACGTTAAGGAAAGTGAAAAAAAATCCTGGATCTGCCCCCGGGTTCCAAATCCACACTTAAATTAATTTTGTTATTTCCTGAAAACATGCTGCATCCTTCTCCCAAGTTTCATGTTAATCTGTTCAGTAGTTTTTGCATAATCCTGCAACTATCTAACAAACACAGAAGAAAATAAAACCTCCTTCCGGGACATAAAAACATATTATACTGTACTTTTTTTACTCATGTGGACCAATGTTTTAACTTCAAGCCAACCTTTGGAGCTGCTTCTTTTTTAGCTTTGCACTCATTAGCTGCAGTGTTTTCTAGATGAAATACTAAATAAACCTACACTTGTGTAAATATTCAGCAGGGTTTGTTATTCAATCCTGTCCACTACTCTCCAGTACAGTAAACCCCATCTTTTACAACCCTTCTTTTTCTCTCTCCCTCTCATTGTAGGTGCAGGTCTCTTGGCACTGTTTGTGCTGAATCATGTGGATGTCGAACAATGACTGGCTGGACAAAACTGGCTACTAATGAAATAACTTTGTGGGAGTGTGACACCCCGGGGTGGGGGGAGGCTACATGGTGACCCCTCATTTCGGTGTGCTGGGCCTATGGCAGGCCGATCTGCAGGCCGGCTTGGACACTGTGGGGTACTGTTGGCAGAGTTTCCACCCCTGGGCATCCCGTATATATTGAGCTGATCACACCATCACAAACACACTGGCACAGACAGGTACTGGTAAGCGGTTGATGTCTGTTGTGCTCTATTTTGTCAACTTTACAGATATAATCTTTGCTCAGTGTTAATATTTTAGTGTTGACTTCATGAAATTATTTCCCATGTTACATTGCAGTGATTCTATGTTCAGAAGGCTGTGAATCTGTTTTGGAGGGAGAGAAACAGATACATAATCATTCAGAAAGGGATTAAAAGCCTTTCGATCTGCTTATATTTCAGATTTAAATCTCTAAATCTTTTTTAATCACATGAACATCCACATATATTTTCAGAAAGAATACATTTATATTTATTTTGCTGGGTTTTTTTTCAGTTTCCTCCTTGCCGATCCATTCACTATGGCCACAGACCACCAGAACCCTGCATCCAAGCAGCAGCAGCCAGGCACCAGTGCGTTTAAGGTGAGAGGAAATGTAGCAAACACAGAGCAGCTCAGTCTGCATCTTTCTGTGTTGTGAGCCTGGGTGCATTCCCGATTTGAGGTCTTGTATCTTCCAAACATCAGTCGGGCAACTTTAGATTGAAAAAAGTAGCAAAAAACAATTGTTTCAGTATGTTGAATGTATTTTCTTCTTCTCTCCAACTGGCTCGCAGCTGGTTATCTATGAGCAGGAAAACTTCCAGGGACGCTGCCATGAGCTGACTGGCCCCAGTAACAACCTCCTGGAAGCAGGCATGGAGAAAGTGGGCTCCATACTGGTGCTGTGTGGACCGTGAGTGTGGGTGTGGAGACAGACAGAAAACTTGACAATGACTTTAGAACCTTACACACAGAGAAATAATTTTGAATCAGTTGTGGATGGCACACAGAAGAGCACAAATACATTATTATTATATTATTATATATGCATATTTGCCCCTGCACCAACCACAACCCTCCATGTGTCTGCTCTGCCCCCTCAGATGGGTGGGATACGAGCAGGCCAACTGCAAAGGGGAACAGTACGTGTTTGAGAAGGGGGAGTATCCTCGCTGGGATTCCTGGACCAACAGCAGACGCAGTGACACCATTGTTGCTTTTCGCCCTATTAAAGTGGTAAAAAAATCCCACTTTTTAAAAATAATCACCCCCCCCAAATCACTCAAACCCACTTAAACAGACTTAACCCACTGGATTGTTTTGTTGCTTTCCCAGGACAGCCAGGAGCACAAGATTGTCCTTCACGAAAACCCCAGCTTTGCAGGAAAGAAGATAGAAATCATAGACGATGATGTCCCCAGCTTCCACGCACACGGCTACCAGGAGAAGGTCTCCTCTGTCCGCGTTCAGAGTGGCACGTGAGTCCATCCTGCAAACAAATCTTGTGCACCACACTTATCTCAGACCTTTGACCTCTAACTGTCTCTCCTCTTTTTCCCCTTCTCTGTGCCACCAGTTGGGTGGGCTACCAGTACCCAGGCTACAGAGGCTATCAGTACCTGTTTGAAAAGGGGGAGTACAAGGACAGCTCTGAGTTCGGGGCCCAGATTCCTCAGATCCAGTCGGTTCGTCGCATCAGAGACATGCAGTGGCATCAGAGGGGTGCTTTTCACCCCGTCAACTAAGTTTGTGACTCTTTCCTGTCGTGAACCCTGACCTCGGCCGCCTTTCTCCCCCCCAGCAGCAACCCCTTTGTCCCTCATTTACACCATACAGCATTTTGATATCCATTGCAGCTGTTGCAGTAGTGACATTCTTTGATGCAGATTAATAAATCCTTATTGCTTACATTTCACCTGCTTGTGTCATTTACCTCTCATCACTCTTTGCCAGACTTCTGCCGAGACTGATTTAAAGGAATAACATCAGTAATCTTTAATGATTAATGAAGGTACCAGACACATTTCAGGGCTGTCAGTATTACAGCTTTAGTTGCACAGTCCAACTCCAGTCGATAGGATGTGCTGCAGAGACTTACATCCGCCCCCCACGCTCTGTTGACCGGAGAAGAAGAACGACAGACGACGAAGCGACATGCTACATAAGCTCCGCTCAGTCATTTCAAACTCAAGTTGTTTTAGTAAGAAAAGTAATATTTGATTGAACTTCTCCTGGGATACTTCCACCTCATTCTCAGCTCAGAGCTCGGCTCATCGGAGAAGTTGGTATGAAACCTTATCTAACATTAATGTTACTGTTAGCTTAGCTTAGCTAGCGAGACACGTTGAATGTTGACGAGCTATAATCTGGTATCATTTGATTTGAATACTCTTAGTAAAATTGACGATTATGCCATTTGTGTGCTTTACTTATAGTAAGAACACTTTAACATTTATTTCTAAGGTATTTTTCTATTGAACCACCAAGTAGCATATGTGTAGTGTTTAGTTTTCCTAAGATAGCACACTGATAGATGACTGACAGTATCTTTCTGGAAGCACATAGTGTTATTATGTCCAGAGGAGTCTTTGAGTCTCTCTACTTAAATGATACTGATAAGTCATTTATATTAAAGCAGCACCGCCGTCTTCAGCAACATGTGGTGTTTTATGCCCAGAGTTTGAACGATTAATAGTTTTCATGTAGAGAAAAACCAAAGCCTATCAATGTGTTGAGTGGATCTCTGACTGCGTGGTCCCACTCTGAGCTGAAACACACCTGGATGGTGGATATTACCCATGGTCCTTGGCTTACTGAACCAGGAGATCTGCTGCTGTAACAAATACACCAAACTCTGTTCGGAATTCCTCATATTTTAGTTTCCTCGTGAGTATTTGAAACGAACATGTTTTTTTTCATTTACTTTTTTTAACTGATCTACAATTTACCATTACTGTTGACCTTGTTGGGCCTGATTCTGGCAATACATCAGTAAGTTATACAATTCTTGCAGGAGATCGTATTTCATCACCAAATATGCAAACTAAATTTAAAGCTGCAATTTTAAAGTAAACGAAAGGTGCATATTGTTGCTTTAAGTGGGAGCATAGTGGGATTCCCATAAGTTGCTGAAAGGTGGTATTCATTTTTATATTCCATCTTGTACAAAGACAATAATTAATTTGTGCGAACAGGTTTTATCTTGTTTAAATAAGTTACTGTCTTGTATAGGAACAAGATATCTATCTTTGTTCTTGTTTAAACAATTTAAGCACACCGATATAACCAATCTATAGTAAACAGAGTGTGAGCAACAACAAGACAGAGCTTTGTAGATTTGGAAACGCATTTTATAACCTCATTCCACAACTTCTGTCAACAGTCAAGATGCCTGTCCTGTGCAGCAGCTGTGCAGAGAAGCGAGCTGTGCTGAAACGTCCAAAAACGGGTCACTCGTTGTGTAAGGAGTGCTTCTTCTGGGCCTTTGAGGAGGAGACACATCAGACAATTTTGGCAGCAAAGCTCTTCAAATCTGGGGAAACTGTAGGTATCGCTGCCTCGGGAGGGAAGGACTCCACAGTGCTTGCACATGTAATGAAGGTCCTAAATGAGCGATACAACTATGGCCTTGAACTTATGCTTCTCTCAGTGGATGAGGGAATCACTGGTTACCGGGACGACTCGTTGGAGACCGTGAAGAGGAATCAGCAACAGTATGAACTGCCACTGATGATTGTATCTTATGAGGAGCTGTATGGCTGGACTATGGATGCTATAGTGAAGCAGGTGGGACTGAAAAATAACTGCACCTTCTGTGGAGTGTTCAGAAGGCAGGCGCTAGACAGAGGAGCCATCATGCTGAAAGTGGACAAGATATGTACAGGTAACGTCAAAGCCCTTTTAAACTATCAATACAAGATTTTCAACCTTGAAATGTACAGATTAAAGCAGTATCAGTCTTAATGTTAAACCATAAATACTTTGTTGGGTTTGGTTTCAGTAGCTGGATCTGTTTTTTTGTGTGTTTTTTTTTTGGGACAGGTCACAACGCTGATGATGTGGCAGAAACAGTTCTGATGAACGTCTTGCGGGGGGATATAGCTCGTCTACGCCGCTGCACTGCCATCTCCACTACTAGTGAGGGGGAAGGGGTCGTGCCGCGCTGCAAGCCCCTCAAATACGCATATGAGAAGGAGATTGTTCTGTACGCTTACTTTAAGAAGTTGGACTACTTTTCCACTGAATGTATCTACTCTCCCAATGCGTATCGTGGCCACGCCAGGACCTTTTTAAAGGACCTGGAGAGTGTAAGGCCCAGCTCAATCATGGATATCATCCACTCCGGTGAGAACCTCTCTGTGCGGGAGGGGGTCAAGATGCCTGTGCAGGGGACCTGTAATCGGTGTGGCTACATTTCCAGCCAGGCACTGTGCAAGGCCTGCGTGCTGCTGGAGGGGCTGAACCGAGGCCTGCCAAAGCTGGGTATTGGCAAACACCACCGTCTGCATGACAAACTCCTCTCCCAGCAGCCCCTTAGTGAGAAAGAAGAAAGGAAACTAAAAGCTGTAGACTTCTGACAATTATTATCCCCTGTTCTATTTACTATCAGACTGAAAATATATAATGACCTTTTAGCATAAATCGTATTTGATCTTTTTTAAATGGGAAAATACCAAAGTGGGGAATCAACAGCTTACATGCATCACATTTGAGTGAAACAAAGTCTTGATGCATCTTTACAGGTCTAATTATTTATTTGGTTTGATTTTCAGTATTTTCCAAGCTTGTATTTTTCCATTTCATTATTGAGTTGTTAAACATTTGGAGGCATCATAGTATGAAATGTTCAAATGCTAAATCAAATTGAGAGGATTATGCCTGGTTCCACTGCACTATAATCTCACACTGTCAGCATATTTTAGTTCTTCATTTGATGCTGTCTCTTAATGTCCCAGTGTACCAGTCTTTGGGATGGATATGATCACATTCAAGGTCAAATTCCGTGTTTTATGAACTATAATTTAATAAATGCTTTGTCCCACCTTTTCAGCATTGTCTCCATGTTTCTCCAGACCCCTTGGTTTGTCTGGCTCAGACTTCTCTAATGTTGCATGCCTCTGTTGTGAATGCCCCGGGCTCTGTAATAAACTTAGATTTTTAAATATACTTGCTACCAGGTTATTGATATTATTGGTAAGTTCAAGCAGATGGTAAACCACTTCAATATATTATTAAATTTCCAAATCTGTTTATTGCGTATTTTTACATATATCCAGTTAATACATACTTGAATACACACAAGCACACATTCCTGTATTTTCAAAGTTCATATATTCACCCATTGTATATTATGGTATGGTCCTAAGCACAGTTTAAGAACAACCCATTCTCCTGGATTTAACTGACATTTCAGCAATTCAACTCCAGTGCATTAACACCTCCCCACCACAGTGCCCCTGTCCCCCTCTACCACAGTGTCAACCCTTTAAATCCTGGAGAGGGACGTTAACAAGCTCTTCAGGAGACAGAACCCCTCCAAAGCAGCCGGACCTGAATCTATCTCCCCACCCACTTTGAACCACTATGCCAATCAGCTGTCTCTGTTTGCAGACATTTTTAACACCTCACTGGAGACATGTCATGTGCCTGCCTGCTAAAAATCCTTCACCATGATCCCCATCCCCAAAAAACCAAGGACCACAGGACATAATGACAACAGACCCGTCGCCCTGCCTTTTGTGGTAATTAAGTCTTTTGAAAGCCTTGTTCTGTCCCACCTCAAGGACATCACCAACCCCCTACTAGACCCTCTACAGTTTGCCAACAGATCTGTAGGCGATGCAGTAAACATGACTCTCCACTTCATCCTGCAGCACCTGGACTCCCTAGGAGCGTAGGTTCCTGGGGAGTCCAGGTGCAGGATCCTGTTTGTGGACTTCAGCTGCTCTGCTTCAGAACAAGCTCTCCCAGCTGAGCGTGCTTGACTCCATCTGTAGGTGGATCACAGACTTCCTGATGTGACTGTGAAACTCTGGTATTTACTTTCAACGTATTGCACGACCCTCCCCTGGTATTTATAGTATTTTTTTATATTTAATTTTGTGTCCTATTTTTTATAATATTTATACTTGCCCAAATGGTAATAAAACCTGATTTTGATTCTGAACTCTGTCTGTATGCCTGTCTGTATGTCTGTCTGTCTGGTCTGTCTGTCTTGTTTGTCATGTCTGTCTTGTCTGTCTATCTTGTCTGTCTGTCTGTATGTCTTGTTTGTTTTGTCTGTCTGTATGCCTGTCTGTATGTCTTGTTTGTCTTGTTTGTCATGTCTGTCTGTCTGTCTGTCTGTCTGTCTCTCTGTCTGTCTGTATGCCTGTCTGTCTGTCTTGTCTGTCTTGTCTGTATGCCTGTCTGTCTGTCTGTTTATCTTTTCTGTCTGTCTATCTTGTCTGTCTGTCATGTCTGTCTGTCTGTCTGCCTGTCTGTATGTCTTGTTTGTCTGTCTGTCTGTTTATCTTGTCTGTCTGTCTGTCTTGTCTATCTTGTCTTGTCTATCTTGTCTGTCTGTCATGTCTGTCTTGTCTGTGCATATCCATACCCATCTATCTGTCTGTATTTCCTGTCCGTGGCCACTAGATGTCCCTATATCACCGAGCCTCAGCCTAAGCGCGCTCCGGTGAAGTACACATGCACATATGGCTGCGCGCTCCCGACCCCAGTCCTGAGTAAGTTGCAGGGTGAAGCAGCA